TCAACTACTATATATCGGTCATCATTTTCTGTACTACAAATCTTGTTCTATTATTAATGTTAGGTGCATTAAGGTAATGATAGAATTTTAAAATTAAAATTAGTCCACTACGGTACATTCCGTTTAGCTACCTATTCGCTTACCTGTTTTAGTATAGCTGAACTTTTCCGATAGAATGTTTATTTCGGAAGGAGTTTTATATATTATGAAAAAAAAAAATATTTTTCGTTTAACAGCACCGCGGGATCAAAAAAAAATATTTAGTCTTTCCATTTCTAAATGGTCTAAAGACTGTAAGGTTTCAAAAAACACAGTTTTAAATATACAAGTGTTTTAATAGATGAATACATATTTATTCCCCTTTTACATTTACTAATTTATATATACTTTACTCTAAGCACCTCCCATATATATGGCTGCTTACCGAATTTGAAGTTCATGTGACTTATGGATCCCAATTTATGACTGGTTAAGGATTCCACGCCTCAGTAAGCACCTACCATAGATATGTATTCATACCAAAGTTCATATTCTTGTGAATTATGGTTCCGAAGTTGTAGCTTATAGAAAATATCACGCCTGTGGGATGTGCAACGACCCCTTCCAAAAAACTAATTTATATATACCTTACTATAAGTATTTACCATTGATCCTCACACCAAATCTCAAGTTCATCCGAAGTTATGTCTGTTTAAAACTTTTATGCCCATAGGATGTGCCATGCCTTCTTTTACAAACTTATTTATATATACCCAGAGCTGGGTAAAGGCAATTACATTACAATTACATTCCTCAGTAATTGTAATTAGGAAACAATTCCTTCATTTCACAGCAAAGGAATCGATTACTTTCTCAATTCCTTGAAGTAATTTTAAATGGAATTGTTTTTTTTTATAATTCCATTACAAGGAATTTCATATTGTAATTGGAATAAATTACGTGCTAGTAATGTAATTTCTTTTTCAATTCCTTTGAAAGGAATTGAAAATTTAATTGATTTTTTCGAATTCCATTCCTTAAAGTAATTTAAAAAGTAATCGAAAAATTTATAAAAAAAAAAATTTTACTGTTGAATTGCAATAGCTCTGTTAAATTTCTTGGTTGCTAACTGCGTTGAATAAATAACTTATACCTAAGTAGTATTACTAATTGGACTTTAAGAAAGCTGAATAACTTAAACTGTAGCTGTTCAGTTTATAGGGTAACCGTTAAATTTGCCAGATCCTGCCGCGAGAGACCCATAAATGCCGAAGCAGGCATAACCCGCCCGAATATGTTCATCCTTGCCTTTCGGTTGAAGAACAGTCCGGACTGTTGCTGCCTTGGGCACTGCTGTTCTCTTGGACTAATCCCTGCGTATCTATAAAAATGCACTGACTTAATTGTATATTTTATGGTACCCTTAATGCTAGCCAAAATGCCGTGCCTTCTGGGACCTTTGAAGTACTCTTACTGGTATCCTGCCACGGTGCAGCGAACTGAGGTGGCGCCGTCAGTGGTACCGCTACTTTGGTTTTGCCGATTTTGACAGTTGTGGTAACTTGTAAACAAACCTTTGTTTACAAATCAGCGAAAGAGAAATTTAATTATATGTGAAAAATCAGTTTAAATTGTGTTAATTTGCAATTTGTGAGTGATTTTTGAGTTGAAGACTGCGTAAAAACTAATAAAATGAAGTGCTGTGTGTTAAATTGCGACAGCCGTCAAGATGCAAGATGCGTAGATGCAAGTGTAGCGCTGGGACGAATCGCTGCATTTTGTGTACATAGGGCACGGCAAAGCCGTTCCCGAAATGTTTCTTTATTATTACATTAACAGCATTTCCTCACAATGATTTTGCTTCTGCTCCAAGCAGCCTCCATTAGCAAGTTAACTAATCAATCCCGCGGAGATGCTGCCGCAGTCTTAATTGCAAAGCAATGGAGTGCACTAAAACGTTTGCTGAAGCAGCCTCAATTGCAAAGCAATGGAGTGCACTAAAATGTTACCTATTCTCTAATAGATTAGGTGAAAAATGCAATATTTTCGCGTTTAGCAAAATTAAAACACGTTTTTCGCTGTTAAGTGAACTGTTTTGGAAGTTTTAACTCGTTCTTCTTTTCGCTCTATTCTTTGTTTACTTGTGGTACACAAATGTCAACGCCCAGGACGGCGCAATCTTGTATTCTATCATTCTTGGTATCCTGCGTTACAAATGAGGATAGACTCCGCTTGAATTACGAGCCCTGTCGGACTGGAGATCCTACCTCCTAAGAGTTTTATAAACAAATTGCATTGCTATGGCTAAATTTTGATGATAACACTGTAAGGACGTTAAAATTACACAAAAAACGCCGAGCCACGTAAAATTAATTTTGGGTAGTAGGATACGGATCTGTATACCGTTATTTTAGATAAGGTCATTTAGTCGTTATTTTCATTTTATGTTTGCATTGCAAATGAAAATAATTCAAACTTTAACTTGGAAATTGTTACTCATACACCATGTATGAGTACGGTCATGTACGATATAGCGTATGAGTAACATTATTTCCTGCTAGTATTTCATACACAAACTTATTGCACTTTCACTTAACCCTTGCAAATTTGTTTATTTATCCATCGATTTTCATCGTTAGTAGTGTTTTAAGCCGCAAAGCAAGCAGATATTGGCTAGTCTATACTAACATATATTTTGAAACCCGTTTTGTTTTTCTGTTCGCAATGCTCGCGAAAGGCCGTACCGATTTTTTTGAAATTTCGAAATCTACTGCAGACTTTCCAAAGATGGTTATAGGCTAAAAAAAGTTTCGATATAGAAAGGGGGGCGTGGCACCTCCCATACAAACCAAATTTTTCGAACTGCATATATTTGTGGTAGAGGACTGGAACTGGGTATGGAGATATATATATAAGATCAATTCCATACTCAGAACAGACTAACTGTCAAAAAGTTGGTTGCAGATTTGGATTATCAAAGACACAAACCAAATTCGGTAAAAGAAGGGTTGCATTCGCATAAACTTCAAATAAAAGGTTTGTTTAAGGAGAGTTTAACGAAATTTGTTGTATGGTATACTCCGAGTTTAAGAGTAGAGCTTAGCGTTAAACTCCAAAATGGCCCATAAACTCGAGTTTGTGGCTCAATGAGAAGTAATATTACTTTAAGATAGTTGATAATCCTATTGAAAATATTTCCAAATCAAGATTTCTCAAATAACTTTCGTTTTGTACCCATCCTGTAATATTTAATATATTTTGTCAATTTAATTGATTTAAATTTGCAAACAGGTGAAAAGCCTCTTCGAAAACATTTTTGACTGTAACCCTTCTTAAAACTCTCTATTTTGACACCCACTTTGCAATATTTACTTTATTTTATAAATTTACCTAAGGTAAAATTTTCGAATAGGTGGCAATACTCCTTGTTTCTACTTAGGGTAGCAGAATTGAACGCAGGATGCGTACGAGATTTTTGAACCCGTCAAATTAAAAGAAGTTGGTTGGTTTTTTATGCAATTCAACTTACAAATATATTTATTGAGTTTAGATTTATGTTCACAACTCGTTTCAATGGATTTCGGTAACGATTGCAGAAAGTTTCAATTAATGGAATGCAATGATTAGCCAGAGTGGCGTTAGTGAAAATTAAGACAAGGTTATAATGTGATGCGGCGGCTGCGGTCGTCGTACCAGAAGTGACAAATTCAAATATATACAAGGCGGACTCGAGCCACCCGCTTACAACTACAAAGCTACAAATTTTAAATACATTTCAAAATGGTATAAAATTAGGCGTTGCCACCGCACGCCGATTAAATAACAAATTCATATAATCTAGTCGTTGAAGTCGATGAGGTTACCCATGTCCTCGACATGCCGGCCCGCCTGCACCGGTGCTAGGTGAAGTAGCTCTTGAAGCTTCTCGAGTGTCATTACGGCTCGGCTAAATAACTCGCGGATGCGTCGGTGAGCGAGATTGCGGCCACCCTGGGTTTGCTTGGCTGGTTTTTTGACAACTCGGCTGGCGAGCGATGGTCGTCTACGGCGGACTAGTTTGCTCGAGTCATCACGGCGGTTGCGCTCAGGCGGCGATGTCGTGGAGCGATGCAGTAGTGTGTGGTGGGCTTTCCCACACCGGTGACAGCTGTCGGCTGAGTTGCAAGCGCCGGTTGAGTGCGACGTCGCCAGGCAATTTATACAGTATTGATGTATGCGCGCGGACTCATATCGTTCGTCAGACGTCATGGCTAGAAATGCGCGGCAGAAGCGCAGCGGATGATAGCGGCAACAGAGGCGGCACTGGTTGAGCTCCATCTTTTTGCTGGACATCTGTGGAGAAAAAAGGTCGAAGACAGCATTAGTACTACGCAGTGGTATAATCATTTCTGAGTTGAGGTATGGGTAGAGTACTAGGATTGGCGGGCGCATAAGGGAGGGAGAAAATCTATGAAGAGGGCAGTAAACATAGTTTCGCAATGTTGTGCTTTATGGTTCCGGCCTGAGTACGAATATCAGCAACGCGAATATTTCGGTCGGGACCGGGGTGAAGTTGCACAACGCGCCCGAGTCTCCACTCGTTTGGGGGTAGAAGATCGTCTTTAACGACGACAAGGTCTCCTTCCTGAAGCTTGGGCTCTTGGCGCTTCCATTTATGCCGTTTATGGAGTTCCTTAAGATACTCATTTTTACATTGGTGGGGAATAACCTTCAATCTTTGCCATTTGTTGACTAAAGAAAGATTTTCAGAGTGATGTTCAGGCAACGAGAGCAGTGTGGAGCCACGTAAGAAGTGGCCGGGCGTTAAAGCCTGCAGGTCATGAGCATCCTGAGACATGAGGTGAGTGGTGAATTCTTCGAAGGTAAATTTATGATTCCCGGCCACCTTCGTGAAATGGGTTTTGAAGCTTTTTACAGCAGCTTCCCAGAGGCCGCCCATGTGAGGAGCATATGGTGGTATGAACTGCCATGAGAATCCGTGGGTCGCGTACCTTTCGGCGATATCAGTAGCCGCTTCAATGAGAAACTGTGAGAATTCTCTCTGCAGCATTCGCTGAGCACCAACGAACGTTTTCCCGTTGTCGGACATGATTTTGTGGGGGATTCCACGGCGGCCGACAAATCGGGTGAAAGCTGCCCTGAACGCTTCTGTGGTCAGATTAGAGCACAATTCTAAGTGTACTGCTTTCGTGGAAAAGCACACAAATACACACACATACGCTTTTGCGTGAGGAGCTCGTCGGAGGGTAGATGTTTTCACAAGAAATGGCCCAGCAAAATCAACACCTATGGTATGAAAGGGGGTGTGTAGGTGGATCGTTCAGGAGGAAGCGCGGCCATTATCTGTGAACGCATTTTTTGTTTATAAATTGTGCAGACCTTACAATGAAAAATGCATTTTTTTATCTTTTGTTTCAACCTGGGGATATAATATTCTTGCTGCACCATTCGAATCATGAGCTGTTTGTCAGCGTGGAGAAGAGTGGTATGGAGGAAATCGAGCAGCAGAGAACAGAGCTTTGACTTTTCTGGAATTATGATCGGGTGACGCTCATTGTAACTAAGAGCTGCATACGTTAAACGTCCATTCACGCGCAGAATTCCAGATTGGTCCACCATCGGGTTCAGAGTCAGCAAAGGGCTTTTTTTGTTAATAGATTTTCCTGCACTCAAGGAGTTAAGTTCGGCGGTATAGTACTGGCTTTGAGTCTGAGCGATGATACGTAATTTGACTTGGTTTATTTCACCTTGCATTAGAGGGAGAGAAGTGGGCATCGGTTTCTTTCTAGCTGCGTTTATAAATCGATACATAAACGCTACTACTCGCAACGCTCGAGCAAAGGAGGAAAAACGCTCAAGTATATCAATAGATTCGATTGTGTGCAGTGATTCAATACGTCTCTGTTCCGGGGGTGCCGAATGTGGAGATGGGTTTTTTGGCCACAAAGTGGGGAGTTTTTGTAGCCAGTCTGGGCCATTCCACCATAATGCGCATGTTGCAAGATCTTGGGGATGGTATCCGCGGGTGCCTAGATCGGCAGGATTATCTGCACTAGGTACATGCCGCCAAGTGGAGTTGCTCACCTTTTGGAGTATGGGCGAAATTCTATTGGCGACATACGTTTTCCAAGCGTGTGGCGGTTTTTCTAACCACGCCAACACAATGGAAGAATCTGACCAGAGGTATAGGTCATGGGCAGGCAGATCAAATTGGGAGTGAATTTGATCGACCAACTTTGAGAGCAAGACTGCTCCACAGAGTTCAAGTCTGGGGAGGCTAACTATTTGTAGGGGGGCTACCTTACTTTTGGCTGCGAGTAAGTGTGACGAGAAGGAGTTTTCGTCAAGTTGTACTCTGAGGTAGACACAGGCGCAATACGCTTTTTCGGAGGCGTCTGAAAACCCATTGTACACGTTGAGTAGGGAAGAATTGCACCCAGCGGGGAATAACAATTTTATTAATCGCGGGAAGATTTTCGCGCAGAGTGTTCCATTTGTGGAAAGCGCCGGGCTTTACGTGCACGTCCCATTCGGTTCCTTCCATCCATAATTGCTGAAGGAGCATTTTCGCGGAAATCATTATCGGCGTTAGCGATCCTGCCGGGTCAAACAGTTTCGCTACCGCCGACAATATTTGCCGTTTTGTCCTTGAGTTGGCAGCTGGTACAGGATCGTATGTATAGGAGAAGGAGTCCGTTAATGCGTTCCATTTTATGCCAAGCGTTTTGGTAGACCTAGTGTCTTGAAACTGGAGAAAATCTACATCAAGGACCTCGGAGTTTGGGACTGATTCCAGGATTTTTGGGTGATTTGAAGTGATTTTTCGTAGTGGGAAACCTGCAGATTTTAGGGCGTCTTTCACTTCGGTTAATGAGCTTATAGTGAACTGTATATTGTGCCCGCCGGAGAGAATATCGTCAACGTATGTTTCGCGTAGGAGAATATTGTTGGCGAGCGGGAATTCGTCTTGACAATCCTGCGCTAACTGATAAAGCGTACGGATTGCAAGATAGGGAGCGTGCAACCAGTCCCTTACTACCGGACGTAATAGCAGCTGCCGATGGCGAGGCTGTCTCCCCTACCAGTCGTGGGAACACCGGCCTCGCGGTCTTCGGCACGTTGGGTCAGTGACTGCGATGGCTTGTTGTTTCCAACAGCGGACAAAGAGCAGCTTTCTTCGTCGGCTGACTGCTACCGCCCTCAGAGCGGTGTTTGGTTACAGCGTCTCTTTTTTCGGAGTTGGTGGCTTTTTCAGAGACAGCGGCCTCATTTGCGGAAGCTTTCGAGTGCTTTTGTACCCCATCTTTCTCTTCCGCTCTTTATCTTTCTCCTTGTCGGGCTTGGCATTACCTTGAGAAGATTGTCCTGCCGCCCAATATGGGTCAGACGCAGACCAGGGAGCCGCCCCACCTGGGAACAGACGCTTCTGGATTTATCGGTGCGTTTTCAAAAGCGAAGATTGGGGTCCCGTACGTATTGGTCCAACCATCATCAAGTTCTTGTCATCCTGAGCGTTCGTCGATGCACGTCTCGTACAGTCCGGGTCCACTCCAAACTACGGGAACTCAGCCTTGAACGAGGATATACCGCCTTGCACCGGTCGACAGAGCCATGTTAGCGATAACAGGGCAGCCTTGACGGGAAGTGGGTGAGGTTGTCGTTTGGGAAGGATAACCTTATAAATTCACTTCACTCCCCCATTAGATCCTCAAATTTAGAGAAGAAGCGCAACGATTCTCACAAGCAGGTATTTGGCGGCAATATACCTTCAGCGATTGGGCATCCCCCATCGTGCTAGCAACAAAACCGGACAGATCAGCACGCATTTGTGAAGAATTTAAGAGAGGCGTTAACCAGCAAATTGGTGTAGATCAATATCCTCTTCCTACAAGGGAGTGCCTCCTACACACAGTTCAACACGGCAAATATTTTTCGAAGATAGACTTGCGCGACGCATATCTTCAAATGGAGCTCGACGAGGAGTCCAAAAAAAGTGCTAGTGTTTCAGTACTAGCGACTGCCATATGTGGTAGCGAGCGCACCAGCCATGTTCCAGAAACATATCGAGCAGCTATTATGTGGAGTTGAGGAATGTGCAAATTACATCGACGACATCATTGTGGCGGGCGCGGACGAATAGGAACATATCGATCGCTTAGCCAAAGTTTTAAAGATACTACAAGAAGCAGGTATCAAATGCAAGAGGGAGAAATGCGAGTTTTTGAAGACCAAGTTAACATGTATAGGTCGTGAAATAAGAGCAGATGGTATTTTACCAGATGAGTCTGGAATCCGAGCTGTGAAGAACTTGCGGCGTCCGACAAACTTAAAAGAGCTTGAGGCATTTGTGGTTAAAATAAATTACTACCACAATTTTATTAAAAATTATTCCCAACTTGCAGCGCCAATGAACAAATTAAGGGTGAAAGAATATGAAATTCCAGTGGAAGTCAGAGCAAGAAAACGCGTACAATGAACTCAAAAGGCATATCATAAAATCAACCATGCTGGCTTATTTTCAAGAAGAACTACCAATCGTGTTATCTACTGATGCGTCATCGTATGGGGTTGGAGCAGCGAAATCCCATATTTATCCGGATGGGACCGAGCAACCGATCGCCTTTGCCTCCAAGACCCTCAACCACCATCAAGAAAACTACAGCTAAATTGAAAAGGAGGGTTTGACAATAATATTCGGTGTACAAAAATTTCACCAGTTTTTATACGGGCACAAGTTTACGCTTATAACGGACCACAAACCGCTGGTCAGCATATTTAGGCCCGATAAAAATCTTCCAACCATGACGGCTCAACGCATTCGGAGGTGGGCTATTACGCTCATGACCTACCAGTTTGAAATAAAATATCGCAACACAGCAGAGCATGCAAATGCCGACGCTTTATCGAGGTTACCATCGGATCCAGACGAAAATTTCGACAACAACGGCGAAATTAATCAGGTGCTTGTTATCGAAACGCCTCTAATGGGCTGGCTGAAAGATTCGTACGCACTTTTAAAACTGCTGTGAAAAAGAATTTAGAAGACGGCTTGCAAGTAGACGAAGCCGTTCGTAAATTTCTTATAACGTACCGTACTATGCCAAATGCTAAAGGCATGTCACCAGCACAGCTTTTACGTGGTCGTCCAGCACGTACTGTCTTATCGCAGATGTTTTCTGTTAAACATGCGAAAACAGACGTTAAAGAAACTCGAACCAAATTTTCATCGCAGGAACATGTCTATATTCGAAACTATGGTCGCGGAGAGAAATGGCTGAAGAGTGTCGTGGACATACGTCTAGGTA